TGTTCTCCCTGCGCAGAGCCTCTAGCTGCTCCAGAGTCTCTTCATGAGCCGTCTTGAGTTTGAAGAGCTCGCTGGCGTGTTGTCTGCTCTCCTTCTGGCAGCCCTCCACCTCGGCCACCAGCTCCTCACTCTTCTCTTTCCAGTCCCCAAGCTGCTTTTCCAGGACCCTCTGCTTCTTATCCAGAGCCTGCCCACAGCTGCTGGCCTAAGGCAGGGACCATACACTGCTATAACGCCAAAGCTTTATGGCAAGGCATCAAATAAATGAGTATATGAGCTGCTCTGTCTACCTTCTCCAGGTCCATACAGAGCTCTTCCACCTCTCCCTGCAGCCTCTGTTTGGTTTTCTCCAGTGAGGAACATTTTGCCTGGGTGGCCTCCACGGCCTCCTCAGCCTCCTGAAGCCTGCTTGCCAGCTTCTTCCTGTGACACACGTGTGATTTGGACTTCTGAGACACATTACAGGCTCAATTCAAGGCATCACATCTCGTCAGATGAAGACGATAGCCGCCAGTATCAACACCACGTACTTGGTCTCCTCTAGCTCGTCTGCGTGCTGGATGGTGTCGGCCTCGTGTTTGGTCCTCCAGTGCGTCACTTCACTGTTGAGTTTGGAGACGAGGCGCTGCATCTCCTGCTTGCTCTCCTGCTCCTCCTCCAGCTGCTCCCTCAGCACCTCGCACTCCTGCCGCACTGAGCTCAGAGTGCTGCTGACCCCCTGCTTACACTGGCAACACCAGCGAAGAGACACACTTTGAGCGCAGTGTAAAGCCCAGAAATGTAACACAAATCTGTGCTAACACACCGACTCACTTCACTCATGGTTGTTAAAAGTGTTTTTAACCTGTTTGGAGCACAAGCACAATATAAAAGCTGAACTAACGTACAAAGCTTTGATAAAATGACACGAAGTTAGTCTTCACTCGTACTGCCCATCTTTTTGTCTCTTCTTGATTACACTATTTGTATGTCTATATACTGCATATTTAAAATTGCATATTTGAAACATTTCATATGCTGAGAGTAAAGTGTACCAGTGTCAAATTCCTTGTTTGTGTACACAAACTTAGCCGAATAAAGGTGATTCTGATTCTGATAATCTATGATTGCATGCATAATACTCTTCTTAGACTAGGAGGCTCACACTCACACTTTCCCATTACCTTTCACCAGACCGACTAAATCCGAAGATTGTCCATTAATCAACCTTGACACTCATTTCCACCTGCTTCATCCTGTCTGCAGTTTCTTCTTCACCTCTCCTGTGCACAGTAGAGGTGCACTCGCCTGTTACTTTGGATGGTTGACCCGAGGTGTTTAAAATCATCCACCTACAATACCTCCAGCATCCCACCTGCCTCGCTCTCATTCC